AAATTTCACCCCAAAGGTTTATGGTTGCATTGTAAAGATCACTTAAAATGACTTAATAATTTCTTTTATAGAATTTTGGTAACTTGCTTTCTTTTCAAGATATTCAACTTTGTTTCGTATGCAAATATCACCGGTGTGACATCACATCACATAATGAGTTTTCAGAAAAGTATAGTTTTCTTGACGAATACGTATCTAAAAAACTTAAAAATTGCCCTTGTATATGCATTTGTTTCATAACTGGTCATTAACCCTCTGTATTTGTTTGTAAAAATATTTTATCAAGGTAAAATATTGCGTTTTCAAAATCTCATTATGCTATGTGATGTCACACCGGTGATATTTGCATATGAAACAAAGTTGAATATCTTGCAAAGGAAGCAAGTTATCAAAATTCTATAAAAGAAATTATTAAGTTATTTTAAGTGATCTTTACAATGCAATCATAAACATTTGGGGTGAAATTTCGTGTCATAGGCACTTTAAGTTATGTCTACTGTGGATGTGACGTCATTAAATTATACAGTAACTATGATCGACAACAGATTGAAAGTTGTCAAATTTTGGAGAAAAAAAAAACTTTAACTGGTCTCAACATTCTTTCAAATCCCGGAAAACATATTAAGTTTTACTGCAATTTCCTTGTACAGGTGAATTCAGTTTGGTTCAAGTTGTTTCTCTATGAAACAACAGGATCAGGACCTCCCTCCATGCTCATTGTGAAAGGATCTCGACTCAGACGACTTCCTAAAATATTTGAGGTAAACTAATGTGTTCCACCATGTCTGAGGATTAGGATATCAGAAAATTTTCTTCCTGGGACCATAACCTGGAGACAAACATTTCCTGTAGACCGATGGATATTTTTTTGCTAAATCTGGGCATAAACATTTACTGTAGTGTTCTAGCTGATCATGGTTTTAAATTTAAGGAATAATGTCTGTCAATCATGTTGTTGCGCCCATAGTGGGACATGGGTGTTAAGGTTTCAATGCAAATCTTCACTGAAACGAATTTCCTGCAGCTGTTTAACATTTCGTGCGGGCAGTGCTCGCCAATTTTTTTCCACCCCCACCCCCAGACTACCATAACACACTTCTTTTATTTCAGGGTTTTGATAGACTGCTGATCGCTACGTGGGGACATGATCCAACTCCAGTACCCGTCTCGAATGTACTTGTGGCTTTAAATGACGCACTTACACATTCAGCTGTTCTCATACAGGTAAATTAGGTTCACCAGACGTAGAAAGCTTTGGATTGATAGGGATGCAACTACACGGAGAACTTCGACGTTTCGAGCCCTGCCTTCGTCGATCTTTACTTAGGTTTCCTCAATTCTTTGTGCACGGAAACACAACTCTAAACTAGTAGAAATTCCTCCCAATGGATTTCCAGAAAGTTCATAACCTGGATATTGCATTCTTTCAGGGTTACGGAATGCACCGTGAAGGAAAGATTCACAGAATATCATTTCCTTTAAAAGCGAGCAAAGAAAGTCTAGAAGGTATTGTGACACATTTTTTTAGGGGAGCTCAAGCAAGCGACGTTCTTGTCACCACGGACGTCAGATTTCCGAGGAAGGACTGGATTAAAAACTATGTTTGTATCAGTTTGTGGTAATCTTCAACACACATGACATAAAATAAGATTTTTCAAGTCTACAAAAACCCTTCAATAGTCAGTTCTATCGAGTGAGATGTTGGATGTTTACCAATATACCATAGAATAAGGGTAATATTGAATATTCTGGAGCCGGTTGTTCAAAGCTTGGTCAGCTTAACCCTAGGTTAACCTGAAATTCAAAGCAAACTTCGTGACAGCTTGTCTATAAATTTGGAAATATTTCTTCAGAGATCTTGTCCGGATCGATAGGAGTTTACTTCTCTGAAGTTTTGAAATAAACAGACGTGCAGAAATACACAAACTAAAACAGCAGGTTAAATTTTAATACAGGGTTAGCGTTAACCCACTTTTGAACAACCAGCCCCTGTGCGAAAACCTTCCATGGCAACACCTTGGTACATGTACAAGAACTTGTGGTTAATGCCAGGCAAGTGAACTCACTTGTCAGACCGCTGTACCGGAGTCGCAAGGCTGCTGCAGCTTTGATTCCCATCGGAGAGCCTATGACTGCATTTTCGCAACCGTCCTCCGTCTGGACTAACGATATAAACAATCATCAAAAAAACCCTTCAGCATTTCAAAGGCATCGATGCCAACTAGAAAACCAACCAACAATGACCTCGTACCCAGCAAAACCAACCTCGGTCCCAGGCTCTTACATGCAAAACCTGTATTGTTATTGAAATTTAAAATCAAATCTTCCTTTTGTTTCTAGACGAGCCTCAGTCACACGATCTTATCCACCATCCAGCCGTTCAAACACTATCACGTGCTATAGACATGCAAAACACGTGCGGATACATCACCTTACTTAACCCTCATCTTACATCACGTACTGAGACAGACGTGGAGGAGACCGCGAGCATGTTTCAATTCACCGGTGATCCCGTTGGTGAACTCTTTTCAACCAACAGCGAGCCTGTTTTGGGGACTGAAAACAAGGAATATGATATTACGCAGTCAAAGAATGGTGACCGTGATAAAAATTTCGAAGACTGGTGCCTACTTGATATGCACTTTGGGTTGCCACTCTTCGATGCAACATTAAACCAAGAAATTAGTTCAAAGGTATGCAGTTTTCCGTTCAAAAAATAAGGAGGGGCACGCGAATTAAGATTTTTACATGTTCCCTGCAAATATCAGTTCTAAAGGCACGCGGTTTAATGCTAATGCTTTTTATGAAAGGTGTCAGACAAAACAAAACAAAACAAAACAAAACAAAACAAATAGGTGAACGGAGGGAGAAATGGATTGGCCATTTTACCCACTTTTTTCCCCTGAAAAATTTCCCATTTTTTGTCCACTTGTTTTCCACTGAAAAATTTCCTTATTTTTTCACTTTTTTTGTGCTTTTTTCCACTGAAAAATTTCCCGTTTTTTCCCACTTTTCGGACTAAATTGCAGTGCAGATTTGAGGTCAGCTAGGGCTTAGAGGCAAAGCTGGTCAAGTTAAACAATGTCATAGAGTAAATTTATCAGGCCATTAAAACTGCCTGCATATAGTCTATGGCATTTCTACTTGGTCTGCCGCTTTTGCCTAGTTAGACACTGTTCTGTCACGGTCGCTAACTTCTGACATTTTCCCCTCAGATATCTAAAGAGAAATTATTTCACGAAGAAAAGTAAGTAACTCCATTAAACTATGACTGAATCACTATTTAAAACGTTCTCAAACAGTTGGGCTTCAAGCGAGATAATAAATAATTAAATTTCACTTTTTCTTTCAGTTTACAAAAGCTAGTTAATTCAAGCCGACGTCTGTCCCTACGTTTGCTGGAATTTATATCTAACAATCAGGTATGTGTTAGCTGCAGTTGGGAAATCCGCTCACCAATGAGTACATGAGAAACTCGATAAACAAGTTGGTGCAACTATTGTAATGAATTTTTGTATTTTCTTTTCTTTCCTTTAGGATGTGCCATTAGTACAAGACTCGTTCGATACAACGTCGAACAACAACGAGTTCTCGTGTCCATATCCAACCGGAAATTTAATATTTTATCGGGGAAAACTAAGTAGGACAAATGACAGGTAATAGAGTAGAATTTTTATGATAATTTAATATTAGAATAATGGTGGAAACATTGTTTTTTTCACATGAAATTTCAATGTTCGTATATGGCGCATGCGAAGGTATCTGGTGGCTGGATGGCAGAACACACAACACAAAATTGTGCCATCCAGTGATCTTAATGTTCCATTATCTTTTAATCGTTTTGAAAATCCCATTCTCCATACCATCCAGTCACTGATTGTTTTAAATTATCAAGGGTGGGTTGACTAGAAAATTTTTGTAGTTCGCTATAACTACAGCTACAGTACTTCAAAAATATGTAGTCAGCTACAACTACTGCTACTTTTGAACAAAGGTAGTTCGCTACTAACTACAGCTACTGCTTAAAAAATGTAGCGAACTATTTCGCTATTTCGCTACACTATATTTTTTAGTTTTACTGTATTTGGAGCGTCTACTACAGTAACTCAGGCTAAAATGTAACCTATAACAAATCGACTTACGAGTAGCAACAGTAAACACGAAGCGTGCAAATTGACTATTGAGTATTGATTTTAAGCAAACCGTGTCTCAATATCGCGCTATTCTATCAAGCTGCTAACAATTTAAAAAAGTAGCGAATAGCGATTCACTGTTTGAAAAGTAGTCAACTACTTGGCTACTTTTAGGCAAAATGTAGTTCGCTATAACTACAGCTACTGTTTTAAAAAGGTAGTCAAAAACTACTGGCTACTTGAAAATTGTAGTTCGCTACAGTAGCGAACTACAACTACTTCGCTACTACCCACCCTTGTAAATTATTCCAGCACGTATAGTGTTCATAGGGCTAAAAGGCCACTACAAAACTGTTCACAACATAAAGTTTCATGTGAGCACAGACAATGTTTTTATCTGACGGATCATTTATAGTCGCAGCCGACGGTAATTTCAGGCCATCAATATGGTGCAGACTTCGCAAAAAGTATTTTATTCGATGCTTATCGGTTACGTTCTAACATTCGAACATACTCAATGTAGAATAAAAAGGTTAAGGACTTCGATGTAGACGAAATATACCTCATTATCTGTTTTTGTCTTGGTCTGTATACAAGAAGTGGGCGGTTCATCGTCACATGTGTATTGTATTTTTGCTAGAGCAACCAAGATAGCTATGTTTTCATTTAACCATTGTGTAATATCACGACTGGGTAACGACAAACTGACCAATTTTTTTTTGCATATACCACGTCAAAAACATAGATAATGAGGTCTGTCTGCATCGAGTTTCCTAACCTTATTCTATATTGATTATGATCGTATATATACTATGTGTCACAATATTAAGGGTTTTCGATACGTTTTTTGTCCTTGGTTGAATTCAGTGCTATGAAACATTTCATAATCTTTGCATTAACAGTACAAATAGTGAAACACTATATTCATATTTTATTAAGGAAATTGATTATAAGATAGACTGAAAATAATTGTTCAATGAATATAATGAATACGATGTTGTAAAAACAGTATGACAGTAAAAGTTATTTAAACAAATTGTTGTATTCAGATTTAGCCTAGACATTTATTTTAAACAAGTTATATATTTCGTTGCACTCTTTTCCACTTTTTGTCCACTGAAAAATTTCCAAAAAGTTTTGAAAAAATGGGGAAAATTGGTCATAATGTAAAGGATTAGCCTTTATATTTTGTCAACAAAATCCTATAAGGGGTTATAGCTTTACTTTTTTGCTAATTTTCGCCCATTTCTCAAAAATTGAAAAAGTGCCTGAAAATGGACAACAAGGTAAGGGGTAAGTAGTGAAACACATCCTGGTGACAAGTTGTTGGAACAGCATTGCTACAGGTTTGTTACAACTTGGGCGTTTTTACGCGTGTACACGTAAGTCTGCCAACAAGCCGTCCCAAGTTGTCAACAAGTTTTGAACAAGCTGTTAACAACTTGCAACAATCTTGTTGATATTGATATTATCAGACTTGTTGCAAGGTTGTTCCAACAAGTCCGATACAGCCGTGATATAACAATGTTGTTACAACCTTGTATCGTCAACCTTATCACATTCTTGTTATATCATGACTGTATCAGACTTGTTAGAACAACCTTGTAGCAAGTCTGATAATACCATCAAGCTTGTTACAAGTTGTTAACAGCTTGTTCCAAACTTGTTACAACAACTGGGAACAAGCAGTGCGAAGACAAACTGTCGACAGCTTGTGAACAGATTTGTAACAACTTGTTTGCAGACCTGTAACAACTTGTGCGTTTTTACCTGTATCGCACTACTCGTTCCCAGTTGTTGGAACAAGTTTGGAACAAGCTGTTAACAACTTGTAACAAGCTTGATGGCATTATCAGACTTGTAGCAAAGTTGTTCTAACAAATCTGATATAACAAGAATTTTACAAGGTTGACGACAAAAGGTTGTAACAACATTGTTATTATGACTGTATCGGACTTGTTGGAACAACCTTACAACAAGTCTAATAATATCAACATCAAGGTTGCTACAAGTTGTTAACAGCTTGTTCCAAACTTGTTGGCAACTTGGGACAAGCAGTGCGAACACAACTTGTGAACGGCTTGTTCGCAGAGTTGCTACAAGATGTGAGATTTTTACGCGTGTACTATACACGTAAAAACGCACAAGTTGTGAACAGATCTGTAAATACGTTGTTACAAATCTTCTCACAAGCTGCCGACAAGTTGTGTTCGCACTGCTTGTTCCTAGTTGTTGTAACAAGTGTGGAACAAGCTGTTAACAACTTGTAACAAGCTTGATGGCATTATCAGACTTGTTACAAGGTTGTTCTGTCAAGTCTGATACAGTCATGATATAACAAGAATGTTACAAGGTTGTTCCAACAAGTCTGATACAGTCATGATATAACACGAATGTTACAAGGTTGACCACACAAGGTTGTAACAACATTGTTATATCATGACTGTATTGGACTTGGTGGAACAACCTTGCAACAAGTCTGATAATATAAACAAGGTTACAAGTTGTTAACAGCTTGTTCCAAACTTGTTAGCAACTTGGGACAAGCAGTGCGAAGACAACTTGTCGACGGCTTGTTGACAGTCTTGCTACAAGCTGTGAGATTTTTACTTGTATACTACACACACAAAAGTCTCACATCTTGTGGCAAGTCTGCCAACAAGTTGTCTTCGCATTGCTTTTGTCCCAAATTGTCAACAAGTTTGGAACAAGCTGTTAACAACTTATAACAACCTTGTTGATATTATCAGACTTGTTGCAAGGTTGTTCCAACAAGTCCGATACAATCATGATATAACAATATCTGACTCGTCCCCAGTCGTCTTTCCTTTTCAGTTTTCCACGCGCTCGCATTTGCGTGTGTCTCGCAATATGTCTCGCAATATCTCAAATCTCACTCGCTCTTGGTATTGCTTTGACTTTTACATTTGTTTTAAATTTTTGTTTTAAATTTTCAAGCAATTTCTCGAGCTCTATTTCCAAGACCTTTAGAGACGACTGGGGACGAGTCAGTAACAATATTGTTACAAGCTTGTGTCATCAACCTTGTAACATTCTTGTTATATCATGACTGTATCAGATTTGTTAGAACAACTTTGCTGCAAGTCTGATAATGCCATCAAGCTTGTTGCAAGTTGTTAACAGCTTGTTCCAAACTTGTTACAACAACTGGGAACAAGCAGTGCGAACACAACTCGTCGACAGCTTGTGAACAGATTTGTAACAACTTGTTTGCAGACCTGTAACAACTTGTGTACACACGTAAAAACACACAAGTTGTTAAAGGTCTGCAAACAAGTTGTTACAAATCTTTTCACAAGCTGTCGACAAGTTGTGTTCGCATTGCTTGTTCCTAGTTGTTACAACAATTTTGGAACAAGCTGTTAACAACTTGTAACAAGCTTGATGGCATTATCAGACTTGTTACAAGGTTGTTCTAACAAGTCTGATACAGTCATGATATAAGAATGTTACAAGGTTGACGACACAAGATTGTGACAATATTATTACGTCATGACTGTATCAGACTTGTTCGACGAACCTTGCAACAAGTCTGATAATATCAACAAGGTTGTT